TGTTTAAAGGCAAGTCAAGCATGCAAAAAAACCAAAACAACACATACCCACAGACATGCTCCCTTTCTTACTCATACAAATACATTCAGAAGTAAAATAAAAAAGACATCTAATTTAGCTCAGGCTATATGCCCTGCGAAGCTCCTTGTGCATCCTCAAACGTATTTCTAGATTGCATGACTCACTCTCATTTACAGCTGCCTTTTGTGTTCCTGGGCTAGGGGCTGGTGTCGATAATTAGGGGAGGAGAACTAATGTGGTCCAAGGACTTCTAATGAGTTGTTTATATTCAACAACTGAGGTAGTACTCTACAGCACTTGTAAACCGCAGTACTATTCTTATCAGATCTACAGATCCCTATGTAGTCCAGAGATGCCTGGCTGCAGCCGAGCCTCCTGCCGCAGTGGCGTTTAATGGGACGGCAGCGGGGGAGACTCATTGTCTCAACAGCCCTGAAGGCTAGGTGCAATAATAGTGCAGAGAAAGCTTCACATTCCTGGGCTCGGCGTTAGATGTTGGTCGACATGGGAAGAAGAAAGGAAGGATGTTATGAGTTGTGAGTGCATGTACTGTAAATCTCATGTTTAATTTTAATGTGGATTGTTACCATGTTTAACATAGTCCAATGTTGAATGATGACTTTGTGGTTTATTTGTAGTGTCAGTAATGGCCTTGGCTTCTTTTTGATAAGTCTATTATTAATACCGTACTTTAAGCCTTTTAGTTCAGATGATGCACTTTAAATACAAAGGCCTTGTGGCAGGTGTTGTCAAGAACATTGAGAGCTGGGTGGTTTGGCTCGCATCATGAGAATCAATTCCTCCACCTGTCACATCAACATGTAAGGATTTTGGTCAGGATTTTATAGGATTTTATATCTGGGATTGTGAGACGCTTCTATCAGTGCTTTGGTGATGCAAGATCAGACCGCCATCTGTTACGAAGAAGCAATAAAAAGGAATGCCTTTAATTTCACTCTCTACTGGAATAATTAGGCCATTTATATTCCACACTTCATGATTTAAGAGAGGAGCAAGGGGAAAAGTCGATATTGGGACTATACAGGCAGCAGCATTTCAGCCATCAGCTTGTCCAAGTCACTTTGCTGCTATGATTTATGTATGGCCTTGCTACACAGCTTCACTAGGTAGGCAACACTGGAATATATCCTGCTCCCTGCCATTAATCCTTCCCCTGATAACCTCAACATGCAAGGAAACTCCATCTTAAATCACGCGCCATCACCTGGGCCCTCCACTGAGGTGCTATGAACATGCCTTCAGCCCCCGCCCTTCCCCCAAAACCCCTAAAATACTTTGCATCTGCTGAGAGATGCTGAAGTGGGCTAGCAGACTGACTTATTGGCCCTATCTGACAACGTTAATATCCCCTCCCTCGCTCAGGTTCTCCTATCTCTCACTGCTCTCCCCTTTTCTTTACATGGGTGTAAAGTAAGGATCATTCATACAAAGCAGAGACTGGAAATGCTCTGATGGTAAATCATTTCTTGTAGGCTTGAGCACACTTGAGCCACTAATTTGGCCTCTAAAGCCCTGTTGCTCTGATTCTCTCAATTCGACTAATTCAATTTGGATCAAAGTCTATGCATTATATAGACTTTGAACCAGCTTCTTCCCCTCTGAACGAAACAAACACCTTGTATTTCTAATGTCAAAAGAAGATATTTTACTGCACATTCCCCTGGCAGAGCGTTTGAAAAGGGCAAAATATGAGAGATCGCTATCTGAAAGTCACATGTCTGCTTTTGTCCGCACCTCAAGACATTTTCTGACCCACCTGAGTACAGTGGTCTCACATTTATATTAACATACCATATTCCATGCGTGTGACCTTCCCAAAGCTCAGTAGGGAACTCTATTTGTCCAGCTATGCCCTGTGGTTCTCAGGCTCCTCGTTGCCCGTTCCCACTTCTGATGTCTCTTTCTTGGTCAGTTCTTGCCTAGTGGCGTGCGAGCAGTAATTTGTCATGTCCCTCTAAGCGTACCCAAGATGAGATGGCAGGGGCCCTGGGGCACCAGTCAATGTGCTACCTGAACCACCAACACTTGCGCTTACATAATGGCAGGTTCTGAGAAAGGGCAGGGGGATGGAAAAAAGCTATATACAGCCAGGGAACATGAGAGAGAAAAGCTCCCAGAGCTCCTGCAACCAAAGGGGGAAGAGCTGCATTAATCATGACAATACCTTGAGAAGACAACCTCCATTACATCAGACAGCCTCTCAGAGAGGAGAAGGCAGCAGTCAATGCTGTGGATATATAAGGCTGATGTAGCTTGAGGGGTTTGGGGAGAAAGGGCTTTGGCTTCCTGTGCAGGCAGCCCTGCGCACTTCCCATGAAATCGCCTATGGCATGCACACAGGACATTCAAGACTGTAGTCCTGCTCTTTGACAAGAACAGCAACTTGGAGAGACGCTGTCGTTACAGAAGAGCATGAACTTTGCCCAAAAAATGTGAAATTTACTGAACCAGCGGAACAGCAAATCAGGCTGACATGGGAAAAATAGTACTGGATGGAATATTTAAAAAGGCCTAAATGCCATTCCCCATTGTTCACTTTGGAGTGTTAATAGAGTAAGCCGAAGAGACTCATTAATCAAGCCAATGTTGGTAATTCTTTGCAACATGTCGCAAGTGTTTTGCCTTGGACAGGTTTACACGTATTATGTACGGTGAAGCTGGACCCGGGCCCTGCTCCACAACAAGATTGCATTGACAGCGACATCACAGCTATCACATGACACCTTGCATCACTTGCTGTGAACAAACCGTCTTTGCAAGATGATGAGCACGAAAACCAATTACGCAAGGGAGGACATAAAAGAGTAAAATGCAAATTGAACGATAAAAGCCCCTCATGTGGGCAAAAGGGAGCGTGGCTGGTCCAGCTGTGGCCCAGGGCTACGCTGCAGAAAGGCTAGAGAGCTCTGCTGTGAGGTGATAAAATAAAGGGGACCCAGCTTATAATAGCCCGCAATATCTTCACACCTCACGGCATCACACATCGGCACTCACTGGCTGTATGTTAACCGCGTTTTGCTTTTCTCTCCTTCCATCTTTTCTCCGCTTTTATCCAGTTCGTCAATAATATATATTTATTTATTTATCAACTCCCCACAGAACAACACCAGCATCAGCACTTAGGATCTCATCGGTTACAAGCAGACAGGTCACACACACACACACACACACACACACTGTAGCATGAGGAAAACTGGAAAATGTCCTGCTGCAGTGGTATCCCGCAAGGAGCTCTGAGAATGTAGTGTTGAAGGTCGACGCCAACATCACACAGGTAATGTGGTTTGCACTATCCCTGCATGCTGGCCAGATCTCATTTAAAGGTCTTTTAAGGGTAATTTACGGGAAAAACATGGTGGCTGGAGAAAGAGCACTGGGTCATATTAAACAAACAGATCAATAGCTAAACAAATCAATTGCTACCAACCTGTCTACACGTAACGGCTACCCGTCACTGTGGTCAATGCCTGGTCGTTGTACTGTAAGTAGGGGGGACAGGCAAAATAATTTCCCACAGCTGTCTTGTTTTTGCTGATTTGCCTATTCAGCAAAATAATAGCAAGACACATCTGCGTTTCCAAAAGGTATCAGGCCTATTAGTCCTGTCTGATTTTTTCCCCCTCCTCTCTCATTTTGTCCTTTTTGTCATTCATGAATCAAGGCCATCCTAGCCACTCCCCCCCTTGTTGTATGCCCTCTACAGAAAGGAAAGACAGGCAACGGCGGGGTAGCAGCTGTGAGTTTTAGGCTCCTGCTGACTGATGCCTGATGAAGATGGTGCCCAAGGGAGGGTCAGTTTTGGCATGAGGGGTACACATGCTCCTCTGGCCTCTGGACCAACACATAAACAAACAAAGCTTTGTAGAACACAAGTCTGACCAGCTCATCTGGTCATAAAGATAGCGGATCTTTCTTGTCTTAATTAGATTACCCCTCGCAGTTGTGTTGTGGGGTTTTGGAGGATGGAATTCTTATCTAGATTTCGCATCTTTGCCATTTCTTATCTTTTAACAACAGGAGTATTGCATTATGATTACTGAGAAGCTCAATGCAGGAATGGGATGGATTTCATTTTAATTTGTTAGTTGACACAGCAAGGGGAGTTTTCTCCATCCAGAGTAAACAGCCAACTAAGTTACCAATTTCTGAGAAATACATACCACTCTGCAAAACCTCATGTATTCCTATTATGTTAAGAGATAAATGCAGCCATTCTTTTTAGTTTAGTTTTTTGACATCGGAAGATGCAACGACACTACATTTTAGACATTAACCGTTTTCAGAAAAATCTATTCTTCAGATAAATAAATATTCACAGCTAGCCTAAATATAGGCTACTAGGCAGTCTTTACTATGCACTATAGAAACAGTAACATTTTAACAATTTCAATTTAGTTTTATTATGAGCTGAATGTGGAGATAGAGAGTGGTTAATAATAGTTAAAAAAATAAAGTACAGTAAAAGTAAAAAAAAAAGTGAAATAGTTCAAATTTAGCTATATCCCAACCTGGTAGATAACTGGCATAGGAAATATTTCTTTGGGGGGTAAGTTAAGTGGTTCCGATAAACAGTTCCCAGTGATGGAGAGTGAACAAAGACCTCCACTGGAGTGGCAAATAAAACCAAAGCTTTAAGCACAGACACTTCTAGAGGTAAGTGAGAAAATGTTTTTTGTAGTTTGGGTGAAATTACTCATAAGTTACATGACAACTAACGTTAACACAGCAAACTAATTAAGCTAACGCCTACTAACGTTAGGTTAATTTTTTGGCTAGCATAAATGTTATTATTCACGCTGGAATAATTCAGATTTTATAAAAGGTAAATCATGTTTTACAGATGGAGACCACGAGAAATAAGAACCTAATATAGAGTTACTCAGGGTTCAGTATTTCTAAAAAGCGTTTTTAAAAGAAGGAGTAACGTTAATCCGTTAGTTTGAATAACGGTTCGCACGTTGGTTGTTGTCATGATAGGAGGAGGGGACGGTTAGTACAGTAGCAGTCGGGAGCAGTACAGTGAGGTTTAGCCGTTTACAAAGTTGTTGTTGTGAGGCAGAGACTGCTTTTCTCCAGCACACATACACACACTTTAACCCGGCGAGGAGGGAGAGAGAGAGAGAGATAGAGAGAGACAGAGCGCTACGGTTATTTCTCTCAGGCTCCGGCAAAGCCTGTGTGGTCTGTGGAGCTGGGATGCCCTCTGATGCACTGTTGCTAAGGAAATGGACGGCTTGAATGGATCGGTGGTCCGGGCTGAATTCTCCTCCGCGCCCCCTCAGCAGCTCACTGGCTTTCAATGTGTGACTGTGTGTGTTTACAGGAACCACTGCGAACAACGTGACGCGCCAGCTCCAGCTCTGCACCAGCCGGGGTAAGGGATTATTTCAACATCGCTTTTCTTTTTCTTCCTTGGATCATAAAAAAACAACAGCAAATCATTTGAGCTTTGAGATTATTAATTCACAGCTGGAACGACCTAATTATTTCGATGAGAAAGACCATAATGCGCCTGCTAGGAAATCCGACAAAATAGTAATAAAAGAAAGAACTGATACATTCACAAAGTTTAATTTTAGCTGCTGACTATATTGAATAAATCGGTATTTTACCAGATAAGATACCGCTATGTAAATGCTAAAAAGGTATGCTCAATTTATTAGGTAAACAACACTGAAATCAAAGTGTTAGAATATACAGTATATGAGTGGGGTGAGGGCACTGCAGCTTTAAGTCCACATAGCTATTGAGCATTTCAAATACCACAAACTCGTTTCTCCCTCTCCAATAACAGCTCTCTGGGGCTCCGGAAAAGGAGAAGGCAGCGCATATAAAATGCATACATGCACAACAGCACCCAGTGTTTTGCTTACCTACTGTATAGTCTGCCAGAGCCAACGCTTGCCGCTTGTGCTTCATGCTGCCCTTTGTTCCCAGCCAGGAAAGTCTTTTGCTTGTGTGAGGTGAATGAGGGGAGAAAGAAGGAGGGAGCACGAGGGGACCTACTCAGTTCAATTTCTCATTTGCGTCTCTCTCCTCCAGTCCAGTGGAGCCGCAGAGCTGAGGAACTGGGGATTTGACTGGCACCCGGTACACCACCAAGGGAGGGGAGAGAGGCGGCTGGGCAGTGGGGTCGACGAGCCCGGCTGGCGCTGGGTGAATGCTGCCTGGCGAGGACAAGGGCTGAGGCGGCAGCAGCATCAACTTGTACAAGGAGCATGGCATCCACGGGCATGCAGATATTTGGATTTGTCCTTGCGCTGTTGGGCATCATGGGTGCCATGGTGGCCACTCTGCTGCCCAACTGGAAGGTCAGCGCAGATGTGGGCTCCAACATCATCACAGCGATTTCCCAGATGCAGGGTCTATGGATGGACTGCACATGGTACAGCACAGGCATGTTCAGTTGCACGCTTAAGTATTCGGTGCTTTCACTACCTGCGTATTTGCAGACTGCCCGCACCACTATGGTGCTCTGCTGCGTACTGGCTGCCATGGGCCTCTGCCTTGCATCCCTGGGACTAAAATGCACACGATGGGGAGGAGGACGGCGCTCTAAGCGGCATGCTGCGATCGCCAGTGGTGGCTGCTTTGTCGCTGCAGGCTTTCTGTGTCTGGTGCCTGCTTCCTGGTTCACCAACGAGGTCATCACCAACTTCCTGGACTCCAGTGTGCCCGAGAGCAATAAGTTTGAGCCTGGGGGTGCCGTGTACGTGGCCTTTGTTTCGGCAGGATTCCTCTTCATGGGGGGGTCCATCTTCTGTATGTCCTGCTCGGGGAAGAGGCATGGCCCCCAGGACATGGTCCTGCTCCCTCCCCCTGACAAATTGCTGCTCCAGCAGCAGCAGCAGCAACAGCTGCTCCAGCAGCAGGAGCTCCAGCACCAGTACTGCTCTCTCTCCCCGTTAGACAATAAGACTGGCTACAGCCTGCAGGACTATGTGTAATAAAGCAGCGCTGTTTATGCTACGGCTAAAGTGAGACAAGCCTGAGGGGAAACCATCACGGCTTATGCTACACACTAGGCTCTAATCCAGATGGAGGTGGAGAAAAAATGAGAAAGGAGGGCAACAACTTTGAATTCATTTTCCCTTCTCCTCTATCTTGCGCTTCTCCCTTTTTCTGTTTTGCAAGCACAAGCAGTGGAGGTATTCCCTAAACAGCGCCTTGGAACAAACAGTGTGAATGTGTAAGGAGCCGGGATAAGGTGCTGCAGCATCGAAGCAAGCCGCTTACTAAACGCAGACATCCTTCATCAGTAAATCACAGAAAGAGTTCCCTGGGGAATGGATTAAGCAAATAAGGAAGGCTTCCGTGTAGATTTTTTCCCCATCGCCAAAGGTTTGAATTGAAAGAAAAAAAAGCAATCATTTAGCTGCTATTTACAATCGTTTGGTAACCTCCAAATTGACAAAATAGGCAATATAACACCTGAGAGTAGTAGGTGGAAACCCTTTCATAGCAAGCCATTGTAGTTTTATGTATACTTATCCACTAGAATGCTACGTGGAATTGATTGAAATAAATGGTAATATTTTTGTTAGCTACTAGAATGATGTTGATATTTTTGCCTCTAAAGCATGCTGTGTGGAGCCTGTCTGTGTATTAATACAGAGGAATGCCTGGTAGAAGACTGAGACATAGCCACACAATGCCTGTGCCTGAAAAGATGTAGAAACATTACCCTGCTGTAACTGTTCAAAGAGGACTGTCAGGAGGAGTAGATGTGGGCTGCTGGGCTGGATTTGAGACAGAAAATGCAGACAAACAGTTGCCTGCTTCTCGCTCTGCAGGTGGAAAGATGAGAGAGATGGAGAGAAATTAACGGAAAGAGATTCAGTCCTTTAGACGAGTGGACTATCTGATGTGCTGCTTTTCTATTTCCATCCAGACAAAACCATACTACCTGTAAATAACAGCTACCCGTCCCAAACCATCTACCCATCCCTGCACGCCCTCAGACATGCACACCCACACACTTACTCATGCTCTTGTGTGTCTTTGTGTACATAGTAAACACTCGCCGGCTTTTTGCATGTGCTTTTCACTCCTGTCATCCTCCTCCACACTACCATGGTAACAGAATTTGGATTTCGAACATCTTTATTGTCTGGGGGTATGTGCATGTCAGTCAGTGATTTGTAATTGTTTAGGGGGGGGGTCTTTTTCTCCAGCCAGAAGCTTTAATCAGAGCCTCGGCTCACAGTGCTCTCACTAATCCTCTTTATTAGCCAGTGACATGAGGCAGCATCCCTGTTACGTGGTCAGAGGTTTTGGAAAATGCTCTTCTTTGCTATGGTGTCTATAGCATGCAAGTAGTCCCATAGGGATGAACCGATGTTTAATGGTGCAGTGGCAGCGAGGCAAAAAAAATAAACAAGCAGACAAGGAGAAGCTTCTTGAGTCATGGTGGACTGGGTATCTGCAAAAAAAGGTTTGAGTCATTCTCCATATGTGACTTGTTTTCCAAGTGAGTCAGCGTATGCTACCAGTCTGCACCTGCAGACGGTCTCCGTGTCTTAAATTGCAGCCACTTGACTGTGTCACCATTCCTCTTTTTTCCTCCCACACTCACCCTGTTCTGCTTGTGTCACATGTCACATGGATGTGATCGCTGACCAGAGAAAGCTGATGCATGTTGAAAGCATGGTCCTACTCTCATTTCCGCAGCAATGTTAACGCTTTCACACAGTCATGTTCCTGAGTGTGTCTACTTTTTAACGAAGGAAAGATATTGGAGCAGTATTGTTTTTCCTGCTTGAGACAGGCCTTGGCATTGATGTATAGAACTGCACATTCTCTCCTTCTCTCTCATAAACATGCAGCTTCCTGGGGGAGAGCAGATGGCTAAGCCCAGCTCGCCACCTGCAGGCTGCTGTCAGCACGCCATGGGCATCTCTGTGGGCACCACTGCCGGCCCTGGCAGCCCTCGAGGGCCAGGTTTCTACCCCACTCTGACTTAGTCAGGTTGCCCAGCACAGCCTATAGCCGACATAACTGGCCTCCTGACAATAACTCACTGCCCAGGCACCATAACCAATGCAATAAACAAGGTAAAGAATGTGCCATGTCATCAACTAATACTGACACGTTATGTGTTTCGAGAATGTGCCAAATTGTCTCATGATGACACGTTTTAATACTGTCTGGAGTTCTTTCTGTTTATTTTTTTATCGCGTTGTTTGTACATGAATTATACATTAGCAAATGTTTTATGGATTTGTGATTTGTTCTGCCAGACTAAGTCTCAAGTCAACTAGATGCTTGTGTACAGTCCAGTGCAGCTTTTGAGGGTTATTCTAAATCCTCTTTATTCCTCATTTCCCAAAGCACAGCAAGACTTCACTTGGCATGAGTGTTTCATTGGAAAGACACAAGTGTGGTATTTTCTAAATGAAAAAAATAAAAATAAAAACTGTCTGTAACAACTGTACACAAGTATCTAGGCTGTTAAAGGTGTTTGTTTTGGGGGAATCAGGATTCCCTCAGATTGTTTCTATACAACATACAATATCATGTTCATACCATATCTTCTTTATAAGAAGACTACTCGATGCACCTTTGCTTGTGTTACTTTACTTGACAGCAGTTTCTTTCAAATGGCTGAGCATTCCAAGCGTCCAGGACCAGAACAAATACATAAACAACTGGCACTCTGGGAAATGAGGGAGCGATTTCTGTCTGATAGGATTCAGCAGGGAAACGGGAGCTAGAGATTTCTCTTTTTTTGTTACTGTGCAGCTTGATCATCAGCACGCAATTTCATCAGCTTATAAATGGCCAGAGTGCAAAGTGACTAGGTCCTAAAAGTCTAAAGAGTTACAACTCTTCTGCTTATACTGTACCAATACATTCAGTTATCATTTTGATAATTGCAGCTTATTTTTGTGGATGCTTTAGCACTTCTTACTTTGCCAGAGCATATTTGTGATGATGAACAGTTCACAAGTTCTGATACAGTTGTCTCAATGTGCTTGTGCGAGTAGTTCTATTTTTTACCAATAAAACTATTTTGTGAAAGCAACATGCCTACTGCATGTAGTCTGTTGTGTGCTTTTATGTGTGCGGCTGACAAGGATGGAGATAGCATTTATCATCCTGCCAAATCTCCAGACTGATGGATAGTACAGGCTGTGCAGAGTGTAGGCAGGCAGGCTGCTCATACGCCGCACCCGGGAATACAGCAGTATCAGTCCAACTACAATATGCATCCATAAGCAAATGGGTTTAAAAAGGAATTATTCCTTTAATACCACATCCACCCTATTCCAATCAGCCCTTACTCGATATTTGCACGAGCAGATATTAGCTTATTCCAGATCCTGTATATACCGGCTGATAAGTAACAAACGGCTGTACAGAAAAGATGTTAATACGGTCATTTAGAAACAGTGTCTGCATTAAATAGTTTGTTCACCAGAGAGCACTAAGAAGCTGAAACAAATAGTCGATGCACCAATTTGTGAATTGACACTATTTTGAGAATCGATTCAATATTAAAAGTAATTTTTTGGGCAAAAATACCAATCATTCATTGGTTCCAGCTACTTCAATGTGAGGATTCACTGCTTTTTTTAAAATCTTACATGATTGTAAATTGAGTACCTTTAGGGTAAAAAAAAAAAAAACCCAAGCAATTTGATTACATCGCTTTGAGCTTTAGGAAATTGTGATGGACATTTTCTGACATTTTCCAAATTATACATCAATAAAATATTAGACAGGTTTATCGATAATGAAAACAACAAATTGGTTCTTTTTTCAATAATTAAATTCAAGTGACTCCTATCAAACTTGTTAATGTTATGTTTATGTCAAAAATATTGGCTTATATATTGTTATTCAAACATTTTAAACTCAAAAACTTGTGTGTTTGTTAGGCTTTAATCCATTAAAATTAAGAAACTGAACACATGCAAATGCATCAACAACAGAATATTACTTATAAGAAAGACAAATGTGAAACAAACATGCCATTCTGCAAATGTGTTTCATAACATTAGCAGCTGCTGGGGCCCATATAGGAATGTAAAAAAAAAAAACAAAAAAAACCTTAAACATAAATGCTAAAACCACAACGTCTGTTCCGAATCACCGAAACTTGTACAACTTCATGCATGAAGATGTCTCTAGCCTTGAGCAGAACTCGTTTCATATCAGACTGTACAGTATGTTCTTAACTATAATATCTGTGGCATATAGCCTATACATCGCGGAAGAGCACTCATTAAATAGTTTATTTCTGAAGAATCTGGGCTCTCATTACAGCCGATTGGAGCCTCGTCAACACCGACTGAGAATGTGCTTTCCTGAAACAAACATGGATTATTCAAGTCTCTCCCTCTTTTAGTCTTCCACTCCTCTTGGTTATGCAACAAGAATGCAGATCAAATAGTTACCCCTCTTGTGGGGAAACGCTAATAAGATCTGCTCCTCTGTGTATTTAACCTACATTTTCCATCAAAGGCTTTCACCCTGAGTTACCGCTATGACAGATCTGGATTGTGAGCTGAGACGAGGGAAGGTAAGCGCATGTCGATTTGCAGGCAGGGGTTAATCATGCGTCAGGCTTTTCTTTGAACATCCCTGCCATGTCAAATTTCACAGATCATTTTATTTCACTGACCTTCTTTGAACAGCAAATAGTCTTTTCCAAAAGTTCAACCGCAGAAAAAAAAAAAAGGAGTGAGGAAGACAATGAGGTGATGGCTGCACACAAATAGCGTTAATGTGCTCCACCATTCATGCTGGTAGACACGGAGAGCAAGACAGATATCAGAGCGTGTTAAGGAGCTGTCATGCCATCGCTCAGTGAGCACCTAAATCGCTCTAGTATGTCACCATACTTAATGTGCAGCTCTTTGTTTCAGACAGCTGTTATGGTCATGAAGGTTCATATTGGAGATATAACGCGGCCATCAACGCTGCGGGAGAATGACCTTCCTCTGTTGGAGCTGCTCTCCTCTGGTCCCAATGCCCATGTGAGGCTGGGGAATAATTGCAACGACCTTGGCTGAGCAGTTAACTGCTGAGAAAAGCAGTAAAAGCTGGGGGAGATGACAAAAGGAGCGCTGTAGGAAAACAATACAATCTGACAGTTCAAAGGAGGCCCTTTAATATTTTAGCTGCAAGCACGGGGTGGGGCCCGTGGCTGGGAGGACTCTGTAAGCTGAAGGCGAGGGAGGCTAAATGGTTGAAAAGGTGGGGACACCTCGGGTTTTCTTGCAATCCATAGCTCACTTGACGAAAACAATTACTGCAGAGATGATTGTTTTACAGAAGACTGCAGAGTATTAGTGAGTCCACAGAAACACAATAAAGGAGAATGATCTATGCAACTGTCAGTTTTAGCAGAAACAAAAATTGAACCCTGACCATTATTTTTTTGGTTTTTACTAAACCTCATCAACACACCCACTAAATCCAACCTGCACCTTCATTTCCTCTAAAAAGCCTGAAATAAAGTCATGAAATCACAGTGCATGAAATTTTAAATTACAGCGTTCAAATAACCTATCAAGTTAATAGCTTATAGATGGATGCCTCCCATTGTGGTGGGGCTTTTTTCCTCCCACTGACTTCATTAGTTATCTGTGTATCATAGCACCGCTAGCGATTTACTTATTTGGAGCTGACCTTCTTTCCTTGGTATGTAGCCAGAGGTTTTAGCATTACTCCTCAAAATACCTGCATATTCTCACTAACTAAACAGAGCTGAATTTGCTAAACTCCAAGCGCTGACTCTGAGCGAAGGCGGCACAGTTTGTTGTTAGGAGGAGCAAAAGATCTCTGGAGAGGTTCACACACCAACTCTGCCAACCTCTGCATTTTGTTTAAGGAGAGAGGGGGAGGGTATTTTTAGCTTTTCTTTACCTTGGGTCGGTGATGTATTGAGACCAAGCCTTCAGGCGTTTAGCACGCTGGCACGAGTTATTGAAATAACGCCGCCCCCCCCGATACTCTTGATACCGTGCTTGACCCCGTTTTTGAGATAGGAATAGGCCTGGATGAATTGCGTGGCGGTAGAATGTGGGGCGGGAAGTGAGAAAGCAGTGCAGCCCCCCACCCCCCGCCCCTGAGCCGATTCTCACTCTTGCTGTTGAGGTGAGCGAGCTGGGCCCCTTCAGGTCAGAGAAGATTATCCATCATCAGTGAGCCAGCCACTGCATTACAAGGGACTGAGGTGGGTCACACATCACTGGAACACCCTCTGAATTCAAAAGGACATCATTACTTTGCTACTTGAAACAGCTGATGACAACTTAAACATGGGGAAAAAAAAAAAAAAAAAAAAAAAAAAAAAAACTAAGACATTAAATATATCACTTTTTTAAATGCAAAAGTGAACTAATATCTGTGGCTTTGTATACGCAAGTCCAAACTCTCCCTGACAACTATAATGGGTATTCAATGCAGCATCAACAAATTTCATTTAGGCTCTGCTCATCTGTCCTGTGCTTCTGGTCGGCGGCTGTGTACAAGGCGAACATCTGTAGGGCTCTCCTCCTGTGAGGCTCACTTAGTTGGTGGGTGATGGCTGATGCTGCCATTACTCAGAGCGGCCTGACGACTGGCCCGGACAACCATCTGCTGGAGGTACGCCTCACTTTCCGCTCAGATCGATCTCTGTCTAGTGCTCTGTACTCACTTCGAGGAAGCTTTGCTGTTGTTCTGATATCGGTTTTTCAGCTTTTGTTTCATTCCACACAGCACATCCAGACCAATACCGTTTAATTTTCTTCCTTATTCTCTTAGACTCAATCCCCCAGTTATATTCCTTTTGTCTCATCGCGGTTTTAGTCAGTGGCTTTCCAATGTTTCCTCTCCATCCGTCTTGTTTATTGTCTTCCCCCACCTAGTTATCACTCCCTTTTCCACTTTCCCCATTCTCTAACTCATCTTCTATTTCCATTTTTTCCCAGCTCAAACATTCAGTATTTCCATCTCCCACTTCTACCTTCTCAATGCATTTTTTCTAATGAATAACACAGTTGTTAGCGAGATGCAGAGCTCTGTAGGAGCTCTAAAGAAGCAACAGCACGTTGCTCGTGATGCAGCGTCTATTGCACAACTTATGGACCTGCCTGTGATGGACAGAAGTGGGTTTTAATCATGTTCTGCCAAGGAAGAGAGAGAAGCAAGTCACCCTTAAAAAAACACGCAAAAAAAAGACAGTATCTAGTTGTGGCCCCTTGTGATGTCTCAGATGTCTTTGAGTTGATAAGTTCTTGACAAGAAAATGAAAACAGATTTGCCTTTCTCTTTCATTAATCATCTCACGACCCTTCAGATTTAGCTGGTGACCCTTTGGAGGGGCCCAAATCCTAGGTCGAGAACCACTGTTCTACGTGAAGAGGCAGTGAACATTAACTAGATGACTAGAGGTCCGTGTTGAAGATGCAGGTGCTTTATGGCAGCGTGCACTCCAAAACTCCTTGACCCCTGACCAGAATATAAATTAGAAGCGTGTTCAATGAAAGGCAGTTTCTATTCTTAGTTTACCTCCTTAAAGAGATCTTTCAGCTATATGTACAGCTGTGTGAATGAGAGAAGCAATTTAAAGATCCCCCAATCTGTCTGTCTATGTGAGAATTAACAGGGGGAGAGTAATAAGGAAAGGGAGGCAGGTGTGATCTGCAGCAGGACAGACCTAGGGCACTCTGAGCCTGGGGGAACACCATCTCAGCAGCCAATCGCCGCTCTCAGAAACCTTCAAGGACAATCTCAGTCACTCAATGTGACACAAGAGAGGTGCAGTCCGGGGGCGAGAAGAACAAGACAGACAGATTAAACAGCGAGGATAAGAGCCTATCTGCCCACCCCGCGTCAATATGGGCGCCAGCAGCTGCTAATGTAAAATGGATTCAACATTTCCTTCTCATTATCCCTTTAGCCTGCACTGGTCAGCCCCTATAGGTTCAAATCAACCTGCCAATCAACCCTTTAACTGAAGCTATTTTCTCATCGTGGTTATTTTGAAAGGTTCAGTCTGTTCATTCCTTTCTCTGTGACTCACTGTTTGTT